CGCGTCTTGGGCGCCGCTCGCCGCTCGCCGCGCCGCTCTCGGTCCTGCTGCCCCGAGCGTCCGGGGCGGCGCCGTGCTCAGCTCCCTGCCTCGCTCTGTGCTCGTCGGATTCTGGGCCAGGAAAAGGGACAGCGCCCCGGACCCCCAGGCCTGACCCGTCCCGTCCCTACTTGCCGGTCCCCTCCGAGGGCGAGGCGTCTTGGACCCCAGGCCTCCGCCTTCCCTCTATTCTTGGGTCAGAATCGGGGCGCCCGCAAAGGATGAACCCCTAGGATGTCCCGGGAGGCTTTGGGAGACTTTTCTTTCTTACATCCGTGACCTCCTGTCTAGTGACTTTTGTGGTCTTGGAAGCGTTTCCCTAGAAATATCTTACCCACCTTCCCATCTTTCCGAAGTCGTGTCCAAATTTTATCAGGAGTTAGTGTTCAGTCTGAAGGAACAAAGGAATCAACTGTGTCTTAGAGGCAAGGAGGCTGAGAGTCTGTGACACATGTTGATCTTTGAAGCATTGCATGAGTTTCTGCCTTAGATCGCATGAGTCGTTTTATTGGGTCCCGAAGAGAGAAAAGAACAAAATAAATACTTTAGACGTCTTAGAAATATTTTTCTTAATAGGACATTGCATTGGGGGGGGGGGATGCAAAGGATCCTAACTACAAAGGACTTCACTCTGCAACTAAGCTGGAGTTTGGCTCTAGGAATGTAAATGATTAAATGTGAGGCTTTGCAGAAAAACTGTCTTCAGAGAAAGAGAAACTCCATAGGGATCCAAAGTAAAAATGGTTGTCCGGTTGGCTGTATTTTATGAATGCTCTTTACATTTGGGGGAGGGGGAGTTATGAGGTAAAGGGCCCTGGTAATTCATTCTTTAAAGTTATGAATTGCATTGAACCTGCTTATTAGTGAATCATAGGGTTAGCAAGTGGGTGGCATCTTCCTGATGTGATTATTCAGTGTTTAATCACCAGTTTGCCACCTTTGTTGAGGAGACACTGAAATAAGTGGACTTTTTAAACAAATGGTACTTCATCTGCCTGGCACCTAAGTGTGGGTTACTGCCTGGAATATGTTGAAATGTTTTTCATCTTCCCTGTTAAGTTGCTCTAGTGTTGCCTTGTGGATTGCCAAGTGGGTTTAACTGGATCAGAAAGTAGTGGCTTCACCACCAATAGTAACTTTTCTCTGCTTGGAATTAGTTCCTAGAGACAAAGAAGGATCCACCAATGAAACAGCTACTATGAGCAGACTGTGAGGTTGCTAGTGTCTTTCATACATTCTGGTGGGGGAAAGTCTTCTTTACTTACTATGGAATGAATGTAAGAGTGTGTGCAATATATGTTATTTTTAAAGAAGGGACTGCTCATTGTTGATTTTTCTGCAGAAGAGTTCTCTATAATGCCGTTGAAGTAGTTGAAAACCATATTTAATGTCCATGGTAAGAACTATCTTAGATCCATAGCTTGCATGCATCTCCAGACTCCGCGAGCTTGAAGTTTAATAATTTAATCACCCTAAAGTGTCGTTAAGTTCACAGTAAAGAAGTGTTTGTAAAGAAGGCTAAAGGCTCTTGTGTCTCTTGCAATTTTAAGAGCAAACATCATGATAAAAAATAACCTATACCACCACCTAGAGTCTGTTTGTTAGTTTATTGCTCCTGAAGTTTGTTTAAATTGACATGTCTCTTGTGATTCGGATATAGCCAAAATATTATAAAGACACACTGGCTTTCAAAAGACTGTCCAAGAGAATAATTATTTATGTAATAAATAGCAAGTGCCAGTGTATATCTGTGAAATTGCAAATTATGACATATTGAGTCGGCCATTCTCCAAAGATACCAATCCAAACGAATTTAAAACAGTATTTTCTGTTTGCATGCCAAGGTAACTGAATCCTTTAAGATTTGCTGCATTGTTACCAGAGAGTGAATAAATTTTAACAAATTAAAAACTATTAGGACTGTTTGAGGTCCAGATGAACCAAGAGCAATGATAAAAACAGGAGTGTTGTTATCCCAGAAATTCCATAAACTCCTAAGAGAGAATGCAGACTGTGGGAGAGTGATGCTTCAAAGATGGGAGAAGTGAAATGGATGTGAAATTGAGTAATGTCTGGCTGGTAGCTTGCTGATAGTAAAGCAATCTGTTAAATGGGAGCTTTCAGGAAGGCAGGTTTGTTGCCATGTGGCTTATCTCGCATAGTCCATAGAAGTAAGGTTCCTTCTTTAACTGGTGTGACCTGAGAGAATGATGGCCTCCAAGATCTTTAATTAAATACCAGTTGAACACAGAGAACTAGAGCACTGTATTAATTCTGTCAAACATCACTATTTTAGAACATTGAGGACAACTAAAAATGAATTAACTCATATCTGAAAGCAGAGTTTTATGGGAGGTGACAGATGAGCCAAAATATGTCAATCTAATGGAACAAATAGGGAGATAAGAAGATAAGTCATCCTTGACTCTAGAAAGATGAGAGGGAAGAAGGTTATTAATTGTACAGATTCCACTGCAAACTAATACTAGAAGATGATGACACAGAAGTAATTCTAAATCAGAGTGGCTTAGGTTATATGACATTAATGGAATTAGACATTTAATTTTAAAAACTTAAGCTACTAGGAAACTTTAAAACCCATATTTTTAAGTGTTGTTCTGGAAAAGCAGTAACAGCCTGTGTGTCAGCATAAGAGATAAAGAATACCCAGAATAAGTTCAAATAATCACTTTTTCTTCCAAGAAAAAAATTCACTTTAAATTGTGGTAAGTTTAGTTTTTCTTTTAAGCCTTAGATTGCCTTATAAAGCGAGTTTTTCAAAGTGTAGTTTAACAGATAACAGTTATCTACATGAGCTCCTGCCCAGCACCCTTCTGGCTGCTGCCCTCCCTTCCTCTAGCGTCCCCTTGCTAAAACAAGTAGCTTCTGTATGTATCTTCCGATGTTTTCCTCCATGAAAATTACCTTTATTTGTAGCATTTTCCCTTCTTGACTGGTTGGGCTCTTGTGCTTTTCTATGTGCCCCTTCATATGATAGTTACATAATCAGGATGGGTTTTGTTTGGTTTTAATAGTGATTTACTGCTTCACATATGAAGCAAGACAAAAAAGCATTGGCTGTTCTAACAGAGCCCTTTGTACCATGTCTTTCAGCTGGAGAAATATTTTTATGAAAAGCAACTTTAGATAACTATTGAAAAGTCAAAGAACATTTTCACAGACTTCGGTGAGGTATACGTGAATTAAATTCTTGAAGACATTTCCTAAAGTTACAAGTTTTTGAGGGGAATGAACAAATTTATTTTGTACTATTTAGGCAACAACAATTTAGAGAAATGTAACAACAGGAGGGTCATTACAACCTGAGAAGGTAAAAATCAGGAGTGTCAAATGATGAAGCAGACCGGTGGAATGGAATTTAGGGTTATGTCCAGAGGTTGGAATGAACAAAAAGTAAATGGGGGTGAGAGATCTTGTTTTCTGGATCCTGTTTGCATCTGATGCCGAAGCAAGGAGCTGATGGTAATGGATTCACTAATAAAAGGCAGCTTTATTATGTAAATAGTGGTTTTTGGAGAGGCAACAAGAGAAGCCCCCATTTCTGCATGTGTAGACCTGTGCACACCTCTTAAAAATACAGTATAGAATCAGCATTGCGTACCACCAGAACACAGTCAGGAAGTTACACTTTGGAAGAAAATGAATTAATATTAGACTACCTTTTCTTTACTCTTTTAAGAGATCATGCTTTCCTGAGGGCTCACCCAACATGAAACAGTGCTGAGGTTTGGGTGTTGAA